AGACCAACGAATTTGGAAAATGCATCCACAACGGCGAAAATATATTTGTACTGCTTGCAAGTGGCGTCCATAGGACCCAAGTGATCTGCATGAAGAGTTTGAAGCGGCTTATCCCCTTTATCGATGCAGCTCAAGTAACCTTCTTTTTTGCCAAGCTTTTTATTATAAATGATGCATTTAATACAGTTGCTGATGACGTGGTTTACTTTTTGCTCCAAGTGTGGTATCCAGTAGGTCTGCTGTACGGCGTGCATAGTTTTTTGTACTGCGAAATGACCGGCGTTGTGAGCTTCCGTAATGACTTCCCTTTCCAACGCTTTTGGAACAACTAACAGATCGTTGCCGAGTACTACCTTGTAAATCAATCCGCCTTTCGCCTTAAAGTCCTCGTATGGCCGATTTTTGAGTATCTCTGCAACTGCTCTAATCATTGTGTCGTTTTCTTGTGCTCTTTTGATTCGTGCTGTTATTTCCATAGTCACAATCATTACACGCTGCGGATAACGGCTTAAGCAATCAACGTGTTTTAGCCTCTCACCGGGTCGATGCTCCACCTCGAAATCAAAATCTTGCATGTAAATGACCCATTGGACTACCTCGCGTGGGACATCTTTCTTCTGCAGCGTCTGTTTAAATGCAGCACAGTCGGTTATCAAGCGAAATTTTATTCCCAACAAGTAGTGGCGAAACTTCTTTAACGCAAGATAAATGGCTTTAGCTTCTAATATATAGCTATGACGAGCAGCCTCAGCTTCAGTTGACTTTTTACTCCAGAAGTAGACTGGGTAAAGTTTGTCATCAAACCACTGCATTAAGACTGCACCAAATCCTTCTTTTGATGCATCTGTGTGAACTTCAGTTCTGGCACCTCGATCGTACAGCCTCAAAATAGGTTCTTGTATGAGTGCATTTTTCAACGTTTGAACTGCTTCAAGTTCCTCAGCCTCCATCCGGAATACAGCATCTTTGCGCAGCAGATTAGTTAAAGGCCTAGCAATGTCAGCATACCCTTTAATAAATTTTCTAAAAAATCCGGTAAGTCCCAAAAACGACTGCACTGCTTTTATATTTTTCGGCACTGCGAATCTGCTGACTGCATTCGTCTTCTCTTCTCCTGGCCACACGTATCCATCCTTAATAAAATGACCCAAGAAATTCACAGTCTTTTGCAGAAAATGACATTTTTTCCACTTTATTTGAAGTCCATAAGCAGCGGCTGTTGTAAAGACCATCCTCATTTTTTCCATACATTCGTCGACTGTTACTGCATGAATTATGATATCATCCATATACAAGTCTAAGACATCAGCGTTTAAAAGGTTTTGAAATACGCATCTGACATAGCGCATAAATGCAGCCGGCGAGTTGCAGAATCCAAAAGGTGCACGGTTAAACTCGTAAAGTCCATTCTTAGTCACAAAAGCTGTGTATTTCTTACTGGTTTCGGCGATGGGCACATGGAAAAACCCATTTTCCAAATCCATGACGGTGAACCACTTAGCGTTATGCAGCTTTTCCAGCACGTCATCAATTATCGGCACAGGAAAACAATCCTTCAATACCATTGAATTTAGCTTTCGGAAATCGACGCATATACGATGAGAACCATCTTTCTTTTTAACCAAAACGATGCGGCTGGCGAAATTTGAAGATGACTGCCGAATAATTCCTGCGTCAAGCCACTCCCTTATTTGCTTGTTGACTGCTTCATCCTCAGTGATAGAGAGACGACTGGGCGACTGGCGAAACGGAGCAATTTCTCCATCGGGTACAATATGCAGCGTAACTGGAACCTCTTCAACCGACTGACTCGGCTTATAATTGTTGATCATCGAGCGCACGACATTTTCATACTGTAACGGTACATCTATATCAGAATCTGTACACGTCAAATTGCATATACTTATCTGATTAATGTTGTCACAAGCTTTCTCCCCCAACAGGGAAGAAAACTTGTATCCATCGGCCGATGACGTAAAGTTGAATTGGCTAGTAAAGTCATAGCCCAGCAGAGCATCATATTCCACATCTCGATCAGCAACAACCACGAATTTGTGAGATATCTTCTCCTCATCGACTGCAACTTCTGCGTCAAAACTGCCCACAGGACGAGTAATATTGTTGCCCAAGCCACGCAGGTTTGAAAAGCAACTACGCAACTGAACATTGTTAATCTGGTTGTAAACACGCTTCTTCATAATTGAGACATCAGCTCCTGTGTCGACTAGGCAGTTCACTTTGATGTTGTTCACCTGTACCACTTTAAAACGCTTTTCATCACGCACGACATGCACGGCTGGCGCTGCTACTGCTGGACAATTTCTGGACATATGTCCACTCTGGTTACAGCGGAAACACTTTGTAGCGGCTTGGCAATTCTTTCGTAAATGATCGGTGGATCCACAGTTGAAGCAATGATTCTTCTTCTCGGCACTGTCTGGATATACTTTTCGGTTCGGCTGAAATGGTTTCTTGTCAACTTTGTCCTTTTCAAATACACGCTCGTACACTTCATACTGCTCCTGCAGCTCTCTAAACGATTTGCAACTGTACAGAGTATACTTAAAGTCGCTCTTCATTTGCAGCCCATCAACAACATATCGTATTACTGATTGCGTGTCAATGTCTCCAATTGCAGCAATCTTCTTCATTTGAAGCATGTATTCGTGAAATGACTCCTGTTTGGATTTGCGACGCTCACGCAGCTCGGTATGAATATCTGCACTACACTTATAGTCGCACTTAAATTCTTCCTCTAAAAGCTTCTTGAGTTCAGCATATTCAAACACATGTGTTGACTCCAAAAACAGCTGGGCAGTGTTCGTCATTTTTGCACGTGCCTGGACATACTTTTGCTTTTCGTTAAGCCCGTATGCATCTGCGTTCAACTCGAAATTTCTGAACCAGAACTTCGCCGGCATATTTTTTCCATCAAACTCAGGAATAATTTTTGCAAAGCTCTCTGCCACAATTGTGCAATCATTTTTGGTTCGTTCGTCAATTTCTATTTTCAACGACAGGAGCTGAACTAGTTCTTGAAGCGTTTTATTGCTGTCTGCTACGGAACTTCTCTCTGTTTTGGGCTGCTGTTCGGTTCTCTGATCCCGAACCAGCCCAATGCTTCCTTTATCTCCGCTTTCATTGTTTATTTTTGCAACCGTTGGCGCCTGAGTCAGTTGCACGTTCTGTTGTTGAGTCTCGTTCATTCCTTCGTTACGTGCTGACGCTTGACGGGTATACAGTGGTCTCGCTCGCACTTGTATTGGCGGCTTTTTCGGCTGTTGCTTCTTCACTTTACATCCACTCATGAAATGTACAGTTATTTACCGACAGCACAAAATATTTTACAACCTTGAAATATTTTCAGCATCAACTTTTGCCATTTGCAAGACGACATTCATTTTTATTTACACAGTATATTAACGATTTTAACAACTTTTATAAAACAATCTGTCCTCTTTTTTTTTTAAAACACACACTTCTGAGACTTTTTCTTTGCACACAGCTTCTACGCTTTTACTTATTATTGGACACGGTTGAGCCCCCAAATGTGAATTATCATTATTATGTAGTTTATTAATATTATATAAGTTCAATCCAAATTAAAGTAAGGCGTACAAAGATATATTTAAACAACTGCGACGGGATAAGACCTCGGTAACGGCTTGCTTCACGACTGACTATGAACGGCTGAACACGACTGCTTTCTTGCGACCGACTCACGACTGCTGCTGCTGACGACTGCTGTAAGACTGCTGACTGCTGTAAGACTGCTGACTGCTGTAAGACTGCTGATCCTCTTGATTGCTCTACTATTATTCTATGTCTCCTTCTCAAACTTTCTATGTCTGCTTCTCGAAAGTTCGACTGCTGTTTCTCTCCGACTTCTTACTGCCGATAAACTGTCAATGCGGGCGCCTTTGCCAACCAAAGCACCGTTACCATTCTTACATTTATGGCTATAACTTCTTGTTAAATCGGTCTATCATAGTGGTATACGGATACATAATAACTAACTGGGGGTATTTGCAAAATTTGAGTTCGAAATTCCAAGAATTACGGTAGTTAGAGAAAATCGCAATTTGCGTGGGAGAGGGAGGGAAATTCCAAAATACACATTTTCTGCGTATTCATAGGCATCTTGGACTCAAATTTGGTGTTCCTAGGTATTATAGTCTCCGAGATATAGGTTATACGAATGGAAAATCGAGTAAACCCCCATAGGGGGAAGTGGGGGGAAAATCAAAAAAATAAAACAAACTTGCACAGCGTACACACATAAGCCATCTTTGTGAAAAATTTAGTGTCTCTAGCTCTTTTAGTACGGACGGACAGACAGACGGACGGACAGACAGACAGGGCTAGATCGACTCGTCTTGTCACGCTGATCAATAATATATATACTTTGTGGAGTCTGCCACGCCTCCGTCTGGCTATTACCTAACCTAATATACTCTTGTACATGCACATTTTAGGTACAGAGTATAAAAATCTTAGCTTTGCGGGAGGTAAAAAATGTAAGACGTAGAAGGAAGCGTAGCAGACCCCACAAAGTATAAATATTCTTGATCAGTCCTTCCGTATGAACACCTGGATCTCAGAGACTATAAGAGATAGAGACACCAAATTAAAGGAAGAAACGCACAAAGATGCCCTATGTGTGTACGCTATACGAGTTTGTTTTAGTTTTTGGTTTTCTGCCCACTTCATCAAATTTGAAGCCCAAGGTTCACATAAGGCGAATACGCACAAAATTTGTTTTTTTGAAATTTGATGCTGTGTGTTAATACTGGTGCTTTATCTATAGATTTAGTAATTTGCTAATTTAATAATATTTACATATAATATACAAAATATTTTTGATGGAGATTGTTCAGAAAAACTTTAAGGTTTATATTCCAATGAATATTTTAATTATATGTATACTCTATATGTTAAAATCCTTCTTGCTGTACAATAATTTTACTAATAAAATATAACACTTTGTTTATGATTCACAGATTTTGCTTTACATTCTGTGGTACATGCAGCGCGTCCTGATATACGCTGTGCCATCTACATTGGATGTAATTCAGTTGTGGCTATTTCATCTCTAAAGACTGGCCTTCTGCCGATAACTAAGGGTGCATGCCTTCTTGGTGAGATAACGACACATGCATATACCGGCCTCTTGGACGAGGAAGAACGCAATCGACTAGCACGAAATTTAGGACCCAACTCTAAGATTATTTTGTTGACCAACCACGGTGCCCTATGCTGTGGTGAAACTCTAGAGGAGGCTTTTTATTCTGCGAGCCATATTGTAGAGGCTTGCGAGACACAATTGAAACTGTTGCCCGTAGGTGTAGATAATTTGGTTTTCATACCGGAGGAGTCGAAGAAAACCATTTATGAACAATCACGTCGTCCTCCGGAAGATTTTGATAAAAAACTTTCTACCGTTTTAACTGCGGATGGGGCTAATGAGGATGGGCCCAAAGAAGATAACATAACCAAGTTGTCTAGTTCACCCAAGTGGCGTGTAGGTGGTGCTGAGTTTGAGGCTTTAATGCGGATGTTGGACAACGCTGGTTACCGCACAGGTTATATTTATCGCCATCCATTGATAAAAACGGATCCACCAAAACCAAAGAATGACGTGGAATTACCACCTGCAGTGTCATCTTTGGGTTATTTGTTAGAGGAGGAGGAACTCTTCAGACAAGGGTATGTTTTTGGTATTTGTTACAATGTCAGCAATAACAGTTTAAAACTAAAATTTCTTTTTTTCGTGCGCAGGCTCTGGAAGAAGGGCGATTTTCGCAAAGGCGGTGATCGCAGTCGCTGGCTGAACTCTCCGAATGTGTATCAGAAAGTCGAAGTCCTAGAAACGGGTACTCCAGATCCCAAGAAAATTACAAAGGTAGAAATAATAACATTTGAAGATAAAGAAACCCCTCACCATATAACATCTAAAGATGTTACATTGATATAAATTTAGAAATATTAGAACAAACCGAGATTTCAACAATATTCGCCTTTTATTAGTCTTAAACAATAATCTAAGATTTATTCTCAGAAGTAACCATTCCATAAACTTCGAAAATGCAATTTACCTGTATTATGTCCTCATCTAATATTTAACATTTCTTGATTAGGTTTGCCCTCTAATACAATGTTAGCACTAGGAGAGATTTTTGTGTTTTCGTTACGTAACTACAATATTTCTAATCACTCCCGACGTGAGACAAGAGTCATACTAAATAAATAATAACCTACATTTATGTAGTTCCTTCATTGAGATAATATAATAGAACTAACAATTAATCAGAATGATAAGGAGACCCATTAAAAATGAAATGTATGACGTATTTTAAACTCGAAAGACGTGGTTTTCAGTAAATCAAGACTTTTTCTTTTTAATAAATGTTGTAGTTCAGTTCGTTAAAAACTACAAACCCCAACTGGGTACAGGATATCATATAGTCTGGTACGACCGACTGCACTAATTTAATTCCTTATTTTATAAATCCACTTAAATTCTATATATACTTAAATGTGTCTATTTTAACTTATACGCAAAAAATATATATTGCTTTATAAATTGTATCTTTGCAAAATATCAAATAAATTCTAAACCAACAAATGATTATGTGCCTCTTACAATTTTTAATGTCTAATATCAACAACGCAATTTCTTTCTTCAATAAACTCGCATACGTTTTAAAAATATAATCAGTGCAAAAGAATAAAATTGTTTGGCATAAAAACACGGTAATATACAAAATTAAAAAAATCGAGTCGAATGCTAGTGTCGCCCGCGACTCTGTATACCCTGTACCCAGCTCGAAAAAATGTAGCATACCCCACAAAGTACATATATATATTCTTGATCAGCATGACAAGCCGTGTCAATCTAGCCCTGACTGTATGTCCGTCTATCCGTCCGACAACAAATTTTGTACAAAGATGCCTTATGTGTGTACGCTGTCCAAGTTTGTTTTATTTTTTTATTTCCCGCCACTTTCCCCTTTTGGGGGTTTTACCGATTTACCATTCGTATAATCGCCCATATCTCGGAGACTATAAGACCTAGGGACACCAAATTTGGAATTTCCCTACCTCTTCCCTCCCTTTAGCAATCACTGATTTTCCGTATAATCACACAAAGGCACGCATAGACTCACATAGACACAATTCCCATGTAAATGTGCATTTATACACCGATTTTTTTTTAGATTTTTTACCCTGTACCCGTAGGATTAAAAGGGTATATTTATTAGGTTTGCGCAAAGTATGTAACAGGCAGAAGGAAGCATTTCCGACTCCAAAAAGTATATACATATATTATATCTTAATCAGGTGTTTATTATACCCTGTACATGCAATGTACAAGAGTATATTAGGTTTGCGTCAGCTGAATAATGTAACAGACAGAAGGAGGCGTGGCAGACCCCACAAAGTATATATATTCTTGATCAGCATGACAAGACGAGTCGATCTAGCCCTGTCTGTTTGTCCGTCCGTATGAACACCTAGATCTCAGAGACTATAAGAGCTAGAGACACCAAATTTTGCACAAAGATGCCTTATGTGTGTACGCTGTCCAAGTTTGTTTTATTTTTTTATTTCCCGCCACTTTCCCCTTATGGGGGTTTTCCCGATTTACCATTCGTATAATCGCCCATATCTCGGAGACTATAAGACTTACGGACACCAAATATGGAATTTCCCTCCCTCCCCCCTCCCCTCAGCAATCACTGATTTTCCATAACTCCCGTATTTCTTGGAATTTTTCATTGAAATACTTCCTGTTAGTTATTATGACCTGATTACCTGACCCCCCAGCAAAAAAAAAAAATTAGTTAATTAAATTAAATATAAAATATTCCATACATGCATACATACAGTTACATCAGAATCGTGTCTATGTGTGTTTGTTTACTTGTACATATGTATGTGTGCATTCAAGGGCGTAGCCAGCTTTTACCAAAGGGGGGGACCAAAAAATTTAAATTTTGATTAAATAATGCCCGATGCATTTAAAAAATAATTTATGCATATGATCGATGAAAAAACTTCAACAAATCCAACGCAGATCCATCTTAAGGCGAAATAGTGCGTCATAATAATGAACGTGTGGTGGACTTTATATGCAAAAATTTTTTCTATGGGGGGGGGGGGGCATTGCACCCCCCCCCCCTGCCTCCCCTGCGTACGCCCTTGTGTGCATTATATAATTATGTCAAAGCAGCAACAAATACAGCTACGGACAGAGCTGGGCCTGTTTATATGGCTATTATTTCGTTTAATCAACCTATCATAATAAAACTTGAGATACGGGTATATAGTATATTCAATTACTGGATGTGACTACCAAATTTTAAATTTTAATTATAAAATTCCAAGAGTAACGGGAGTTATATAAAATCGTCAATAGCAGGGAAGTGGAAGGGCGCATCGGAAAAAATTTACAAATCTGCCCTTTCTCGGGCGTAGGAGAATCTGGATACGAAGTTTGGTTATTCTAGCTCTTATACTTTCTGAGATCCTTGTGTTCATACAGACAGACAGCCGGTCAGACGGACATGGCTATATCGACTCGACTTGTCATCCTGATCAAGAATATATATACTTTGTGGGGCCACGCCTCCTTCTGTGTGTTACATTACCTTTTACCCTTTGAGTACAGGGTATAAAAATTAAGAAAATTAAAAAACAGTAAAAACAAATTTTGATCAATTTTTACCTCCTTTGGTATTCGTAAAGAGAGTAGAACTGCACATTACAAACAAACAATAAAAGGAAAAATGGCTATAACTTCGGCATACGGACCCATAATCACTAACTGAAGGTATTTGCCAAATTTAAGTCAAAAATTCCAAGAATTACAAGAGCTGTGGAAGACAAGAAAAGAATGCTAAAGTCGAAGAGGCTCAACTTTTAAATACCCTGTACCACCCACCAAAAAGGAAAAATGAAAAAAAAAAATTAAAATTAATTTTAAAAAAAATTATACCTCGGTAAAATAATTATATGTGTCTTATATTTTTGTAAGTTTAAAAAAGTACTCGTGCAAGTAAAAAATTTTAGGTTGCAGTTTTATTGCTTATAGTAATGGAAAACAAAAAATAAGAAAAAAGTTAAAGAAATCGTATTTCAATACATATAAATCTTATTTAAAATTTGTCTTCATTATAAATAATTATATGTGACTTTTCATGATATGCTCAACTTATTGGGATTAATTAACTTAAATGAATTAAATTCGATATAATGAAGTGAAATTAATAACTAATAGGCTTTCCACTATTCATTATTACCGAACTTAAGCGAAATGGCATGGAGTTAATCAATGATTTTAAGTTGGATAGGTCAATTGTTGCCCATTCTTGCTCTACGGCTAATTTAAGCTCTTTTGCTGTCTCAAACTGCCGGCAATATTTGAACACTTCAGCGGATAGAATACCCCAGAGATCCTCAATTGGATTAAGGTATGGACTCATTGCTGGCCACTTTAAAACTGGAATATTTTTCTCGTTAAAATATTCGGTGGTCAGGTTGGCACTATGTGTTGGAGCATTATCCTGTTGAAAGGTCCACTCATCGCAGTATAACTGGCCGCCAAACTGCACTAACTCGTCGTCCAATAGGTCAACATACATTTTGGCATTCATCCTTGTGGATATAAAACACATTGGACTCTTTCCTTTGTAGCAAAACGCAGCCGATACCATTACCGTCCCACCATCATGACCACGCTTATAACAGGTGCGTCGATCCTGTCGCATATCGCGCAAAATGACATTACACCATTCCTCCTCCCAGAATTGGTATCAATACGTGCCTTCATATGGCGAGGTAAAAGCTTAGGTTAAGATACCATGGTAGTATGTTTAAGACTCGGATTTTCATGGATTATTTGAATAATTCTACTCCTTGTTACATTGAGTCCCAATTGAGCCTTAATCTGTCCACTGCTCATTAAATCCACTGCTGCAAGTCGCTGGATTTGACGCTTGCATCGGGTGTCAATATCAGTTTTCCGTCCGCTGCGTGGTGTTGTTTTATATTCACTCGGATTTTTGAGGAAATTACTAATAGTATTTCTATGACGAGTGAGTTTTTTTTTTTAGCAATTTCAACATTTTTGGAACCGCTTTCATGCATTCCAATGATTAATACTTGCTCATACTCCGAAAGGCTATTTCCACGCGGCATTTTGCACCAATATTTAGGCAAATGCATTTTATAACATATATGTATACTCACGTTTAAATTTAGAATAAAATTCTTGTAATTAAACATTTTAAAACCAATTAATGATGCGGAGCAGCGAGCGAATTGTAAAAGACACATATATGTAATTATTTATAACCAATTACCAAAGGCACGGGTACTTTTTAAGCTAACGGTAAACCAAATATGCAGAGAACAAGGAAATGATAGTTGTGTATACATAAGAAGAGATAAACAAAACAGACTGCATTCTCAAAAATAAAGTGCCGTTACCTATTACGCAGAATACAGCAAAAATAGTTTGTCACATATACACTGCGCGACAACCGATTAGCTTCTTGTTTTTAAAGCTTTATATCAGCTTATCCTATAAAGTTTTTAAAATAAACTTTTTAGCTAATAAAAGTTCATTAAATTATACACTAGAAAATGTAATAGTTGTATTAGCTTTATAAATAATATTTTAATGGAAATTTTACAAATTTAATACAAGAAAGGAATGCTAAAGTCGAGCAGGCTCAACTCTTAAATACCCTGTACCACCCCACAAAAAAGTAATTAAATGAATTAATTAATTTAATTAAATTAATTAACTAAATTAATTTAATTAATTAACTAAATTAAATATAAAATATTCCATGCATGCATACATACATTTACATCAGAATCGTGCCTTATGCGTGT